TATTGTTCATTTTAAAAGTTCATTATTTAGAGTTGCTTTCTAGTTTCTAAAAAAGAGTTACTTAAAATGTTCATCTTAAGATAAAAACAATCAATTTTCTTAATAAAATAAAGTGTATAGATATAGATTAATGCCATATATACATCAACTAAGTTTTACAAAATTATAGAAAGAGGTTGCATTAAATATAAACAGTATATTAGGTATTAATATATTTTTTCTAAAGAGAATTAATAAGAAAATGTGTTGGCTTAATATATTTTATTGCTAAAAATGGAATATGTATTGCATCAAAGAAATCTTAATGTTATGGTATATCTTCTCAATGCTTCTGTTCGATATAATCTTTCTATAAAAGAAAAATCTGACAAGATAAGATAAATATCGGTCAGTGCTCTAAGTAGGATCAAAATAAATAAGATTATTTCAGGAGTAAACTCGAAGTAACCAAAAGGGTGGTGTTCGAGGGATTTGAGGCTGGAAATCGGGGGTGTTTCGATAGCTGTTGTTACAGGGGACGAATTGACAACAAGAATCGTGTACGTATATTTACCTACGACGCCCCCTCAAGAATTAAACATGCACGTGGACGCACGAATAGCTACTTGTGCTGCATTGTATTCACGGAAATGTCTGGTGTATTGATTTTTACACATATGAATTCACATATATACACGCAGCATTAATCGTATTCTGAGAAAACAAATGATTAATTACCTCTCTGTCAGATATTTTTGCAGCAAACTGTTTGTAAAATGCCAGAGCTTTTATATAATTTTTTTTATTTATAGTAAAAAACAAATAAAGTAAAATTTATATATATTTTCCTTAAAAGATAGTATATTTGTCTGAAAACAGTTAATCCAAATATATTTTTTATTTGTGGCGGTTTGATATAGGATCATTCCTACTTGACATTTTTTCTATTTTTGCTGATTTTAGCGCGCATGAGTTTTAATGATACTTAATTAAATGCTGGAAGACTATATCTTTAGTAATTTAGGAGTATGTTGAAACACATTAAGACCGCTTTGTAAATTACGTAGGACGTAGACAATAAATAATTAATCGTTTCATTAATTCTTGATTGTTTGGACGACATTTGACTGGCAATTAATCTAATGTACATTTTATTGATGTTCTTACGTTAAGTAGGGTGAGTATTTTAAAATCATTGTGCAAAATTTTCACAGAAAAAGTAATACGCTTTTATTATTCTAACTGATTAAATAAATAAATAATAATATGTTTAACTTGATTGATAATGCCAATAAAATTTGTATATTTTTATACAATTATTTACAAATATTTCGTCAAGCATTTTGTTATATAAAAGTAATGAATAAATTTAACTTAATTGATAATGTTAATAAAATATGTATATTTTTATACAATCAATCATTTACAGATATTCCGCTAATAATTTTATTATATAAAAGTATTCCATCATCCAGAAAGAAAGCTTGGAGAATCCTCATGGGAGGTCAACACAGAGAGATATGTTCTCGATAAGAAAGTGGACACGCAATCAGACGGGTAGCAAGAAACAGACACTAACTCGATCGCGTTAGTGGGTTATTTTCTGGAATCTGGGCACCGAGATAACGTCGGACTCTTTCAGGCATTGGATGCGAGACTGAGCGTTATCTCGCCCTTCTAACGATTCCTACGCGTGAATTTATCGACATGAGAAATCGATGTCGGTGGGCGCAGGGACATTGCCGGGGAGCGTGTCTACGTAAAAGCACTTTATTATGGACCGTCTTCGACGCCTCCCTGCAAAGTGGGCTGAAGCACGCGAATATCGCAATATACCGCAAATTGTCGCAAATGATAAAATACGCCGCATGAATTCTCGGAAATAATCACAGAGCGGATTCGTGCTGTGTATTGCGTATTGTGAAATAAACGTTTATTTCTCTCACTCTCTAAAGTGAGCAATAATAAACTGTGTAGATTTTGTGGAAATGAGAAAGAAAGAAAGAAAGACGCATATTGTTTCTTATATTTCAATATCGTGCTGACGTATATAAAAATTACGTTGCACTAGATTAATTGCCAAATATTTTAAATGAGATGAGAATAGATATATTAGTTGTTATACAAGTGTGAAACTTATTTCGTTAAAGACTGTTATATGTTTAAATGATGCCAATCGATAATGACTTTGACGAAAATTTTTTGACAAATATATTTTGTTGTGCAGATGCAAAGATTAAATATTTCAAATACAATCACAAGATCATCTGCCGTGCTTGTCCGAACATCAGTGAATCTAATAATTATAATTACCAGAAATGCTTCAAAGACACCTTAGCTCAAGGATAAACGCGTCGGTTGATGCCAACAATGCGCAATTGTGCGCAACAATCGGGACGTCACTCATGATGAAAAAAGTCCGCCCACGAACAGAGAATCGCCGCCGCAGTGGACTGGAATTATTACCGCTTCGCGCTATTTTCCATGAAACTTCACGAGCATTGCGGTTCGCTGAAGGTTGCGCGACACGCCAATCGATAGTGACTTTCGTCATAAAGTAAGTAAAAAATTCTTGCCGATTTGATCGACAGATAATCGACCCTTTCGTGCACGACGACGTATAAGTGATGCAAACGCCGTTTTGAGTAATCCATGTCGCGATAACATATCGGTTTTTTCACGTATTTATTTTTGTTACCTTGCATGACTGAACCGATCACTTTTATGTCAACTGCAGAAGTCCGCTTTTACGATATAATTAAAAAGGTTAAATTACTCTTCTCATCAGATTAACCGCGATAAATTTTATAACGCGCATTTACTAGAAATGCTTGGACTATATTTTAATTATTAAACAAAAAACATATATCCAATAATATACCATTAAAAAAGTTTTTCTATGCTTCTAAAAAGTTTCGTCTTTTACGACTGTGTGTGTCCATAGATACTCCTTTTCTAACGGAAGCATTCAATTAAAGCATACTCGTAAAACAATTTTAAAGGTTACGCTTATTTATCAAAGAAAGAAAAATGTTTTAATTTTCATTTGCAACGTTTGTCGGGGAAAATTTGGCTTTTGTTATAAAAACTAATGTGGCGTGCAGATGATACAATACGTAAAGACATAGGGTACAAAGTGGATAAACAACGCAGATTTTTGCATTGTATTATTAATAGTTCCGTAGTATTTTTAAGTCAGCGGCCATCTACGTCAGTTGACTATCGGAGTGAAATATTTTTAGTTTGATCGATAGCTTCTACGCGCAGAGAAGCCGAGTCTTATAGGGGCCGCGCAATTTGCATAGGTCGCAATCGCGCACGATAGTCGCATTAGCATAAACGTTGAATTCATAATCGAATCAAGAGCCAGCACCGACTAAAATTATGAGCAAATGCTTTCGATTGGTCGTGATTCGTTTCTCATGGAAGAAGTATAACGATTCAATTTTATTGGAAGCAATAAACTCACGATATCAACATTGTAAAATAAAATTGTCAAAAATAAAAAAGAGAGAAAACTTTGCCGAACAGAAATATTGAAGGAAAATCGATATGACTTGTAGTTTAGATAGTCTGGAATGAGATATTTAAAAATCACGGCTTCTTTTCAAGAAAAAGAAAACATTTTTAAAATACTTAATTTCCAAATAAGTTTAAGAGATAATTTTCAATAATTTTACAATAATTCTAGAAAAGGTATATTACATTGTAAAACGTTCTTGAGAGAAGGAAATATATTTTATTTAGCGCAATGTGTTTTAATATTCGAAGATAATATAATAAAGAAATAGTCCAATACACTTGCTTCTCGGAAACTTTGCGTCATCCTTCCCTTTCCTCTATTAAAACAATTTTTAGGGAAAAGTATATTATGATTCAGCATTTCACATATGACTCAAGAAAGTATATAATCGTAACGCTGTATTGTAATTCAGTAGCCTCCTGTTGCGATGCAAATATAACATATATAATTGGCTCCTGTTATGAAGGGACAGAAACTCTTGGCTTTATCCCGTGAAAAGTTTGCCTAATTTCCTCTCTAACATATTGTATGTCCTGGGCGACTCTTATTATGCGTATTCCTGCGGGACGCTGTCCGCATCCCGGGGGATTCAGGGTACGAAGCCCTTTCTTTTGTGACGCGTGTGGACCATCACATCCCACTTGTAATGATAGTCCCTTCAGGGAAAACGAAACCTTTTAACGCATCGGAGACAAATATTCGTACTCTTTAATTGGATATCGCTTGCGGAATATTCCGGTTTAACAATAACAGTGGCCGAGCCAAGTAGAATAGCATGGCAGTTGTTTCTAACGAAAATTATTCATATTTTGTACATATGTCACAGATCAGTGCAGTATTCGTATTAGGCTGTTGAGCTTTATATAACAATCTTTTTTTTTCTTTAGATATATGTATATTTGGTGCTCAACGATCGTCGACCGTATCGATTTTGTATGACTTGTATATATCAACGTTAATCATAGCAGTTCAATCAGCGAGAGTTAATTATCTCGTGCTGTTGGTATATCTTAATCATCCAATTACAACGATAGCGGAATAACCGCGGGAGTAATATATTAATTATAACGTCGAACCAGTACCCGTGATAACTGTATTATCGGCGTGTATGTTTCACGAAGCACGTTAAAGCACCTAGCAAATAAAAGTATACTGAAATATGAACGGTAATATAAAAGTATATCAAAGTACTATTATCAAGTGGAGATATTTTTGGAGAGTTAGAAGTACCTATAGTGTATTTAAGTGATTTCTTAAAATATTTATTAGATGTATGTCCCGTACTTTTTTCATTTTTTTAAAGATTTTAAATTGAAGATTATTCATAAATGAAACGTTCAACTCGTTAGATAAAAATATCCAAGAACCTTAAAAAACCAACATATTTCTTTTTTAATCGCAACACGTATTTAAGCGTGAACGTTTGTTAATTTATATAATTTAAAAACGTAAACATAATAATTTTAAGAAGCGCACTCTTTGGAAGTGACGAACTCACCTGCCAGCCTTGAAGCAGGAGATTTCTGTCGACAGTTCTGAGCCACATGACAGCGTCGCCAGCCTGGAAGTCCCTTAAACGGGTGCATTTCTTGTGCAGGAAGACGCCGAGGCACTTGAGCAATTCCGAAGTGGAGGCCTGGATGACAGTTTTTCTTGGTCCAGGAGGCAGGGGTTTCTGCATCAATTTCTCACACGTCGGATTGTGCGTGGTGTGATTGTTGTTCGACGCCGGCGGTTTTGTCTAATTAAAACCACGAGAGAGAAGATCATTTCTCAATAAACTAACTAGAAGATTTCTCAATATAATCAACATTCTTGTAAACCTTATGTAAATTTTTTGTTTTTAATTACTTAATACTTTTTAAACTCATATACTTGTTAACATTGACGAAACCACTTTATAGTAACCGCATATTATTTTTTGGTAATTTAACGTATGTGTAATGTGATAATTTCTTGCAAATTTTATTTAACAATGACAATAAGTTTAATAAAATAAATTTTAGCATTGATAGATTTTCTAATGTAATATTTATATATTTTATATTCTGCTGATATTAAATGTGGAGTTTGCAAATGATAAAAACTAGTAATTAAACATTAAGTACATTGAAAGTAGCCATATTTCTAGAGAGAAAGATGAAAATATTGAAAATTTATAAAGAAAAGGCAACTCGTGCTACGCGAAAGGAGACATCAAACGATCGATGTGCTTTCGATCGTGTCTCGGGGGGTCAAAGCACGTTGTATATTTAATTCCTTCATGCTTTACTGTATGTAAATCCCCCTTTCGAGTTGTTTCTATCTCTAGACTTCTCGAGACACAACAAGCAATGAGATATATTATTTTAACTATATATTTATTCCATTGTTTTTTTTTATTCTGTTTTATAATATTTTTAACTTTTAAATTATTACGGTAAAGGGTGCTATGTATTATCGATATAAATAAAATATCTAGACGTATTTCTAAATAGATCGAATTTGTGTCGGTCGGTGTCGGTGTTATAATATGAGAATATAATTTGTTAAAGCGCGCTTGGGGTTTCTTAACTATTTATTTTATATAATTTATATATATGTATATATATAAATTATTTATTAAATATGCCAATTTACCACTTGTCAAAATAGAATTACAAGCACTTCTCTCGAAAAAAAAAGGAGAATGAAAGTTTTTTGCTCTACACGAGTACTTACCTGCGGCGTCTGTATATTCTTATTTTTATCAACGATAGGTATGTTATCGAGCGGCTGTCTGAAGGCGATATTCTTGTTCTTGTTATCAAGCTTCTTCTTGTTGTTATTAGTTGTGCTGAACCGCTTCCACGACAAGGCATTTATGAACAGCGAATGCTTCTTCAGGTTCTTCTCCAGGGCGTTCTTTTCTGAAATGATCCTCGCGTTGTCGTTGTTGTTCAGATTAATGTTATTGTTCTGTAGCGAGTTGTTGTTGGTCGGGGGATGATTCGTGGGTGGCGCCGGCGCCACCGTGGCAACGCCGCTCTTGTTCTCGCGATTCTTCGCATTATTTAGCTGCTCGTAATTAAAGTTGTTTAACGTGAAGTCAGCGGGATGTTGATGTCCCGCTGGCGGGTAAACAGGCCCGCGGCGGTCCCGCGGACTGAACGACAATACGGTCCCCATGGTGCTGGCGCTGCGCTCTAAATGTTGCGGTTGCGGTTGCGGCTGAGGTTGTTGCTGCTGTGGCTGTGGCTGTTGTGGTTGTTGCGGTTGTTGCGGTTGTTGCGGTTGCTGCTGACTCGTCGGTTGTGCCTGCTCTCTGCCGCTCTGCGGATTGGTTGGATTCTGACTTGGTTGACGACTCACGTTCGGACGAGGATTCTGAGCTTCTCGTCCTGGACTCGTTGGATTGCCGGGATTTTGCGTTGGCTGGCCGGCGGGATTCTGATCTTCTTGAACGGGACTCGGATGGCCCGGATTACCGGGATTGTGACCTGGGTTACCCGGATTGTGGCCGGGGTTACCCGGGTTGTGGCCGGGGTTACCCGGGTTGTGGCCGGGATTACCTGGGTTATGGCCCGGATTGCCCGGGTTGTGTCCGGGATTGCCCGGGTTGTGGCCGGGATTTCCTGGATTGTGACCGGGATTTCCCGGGTTGTGACCGGGATTGCCCGGATTGTGGCCGGGATTTCCCGGATTATGAGTCTGGTGACTGGGGTTGTGACCAGGGTTGTGGTCGGGAGTACCCGGATTTTGGGGCGAATGACCCGGGTTGTGATGCCCGGGATTTTGGGACTGGGGTCCCGGATTGTGGGTCGGGTGACCCGGATTCTGGTGATGCTGGGACGTAGCGGGCGGCGGTCTCGGCGGGCTCGGTGTAGTGACACGCTGCGGTGGGGGTGCTCGAGGAATCGAGGTCTCCCTCGAGGGTCCCGTCAGCGGGGTCGCATCCCCTGGCTCGATGGCCTCCTCCACGACGGGACCCACCACCTCGCTCAACCGACCTCCCAGCCTGCTGATTTCTACCTTCGACTTGAAGGACACTACTTTTTCTTCCTCCCGCGACGTTGGACACTGATTTACCTCCTGTTTCCTTGCCAAATTTCTTCTTTTATTAAACTATATGAAGTTTCGTGATTAATGCACCCTCCCGGCGGCGGGAGAGCGTTACAGACAATATGGCGATCGTTGATGGTGATCGATAAGCGAGGAGAAAGTGCGAACGAGACGTATTCGAGGAATAATTATGCGAACAATCTGGTCCTTCTGCTTAACGTGGATCTGCAGCCTCTGTAGCTTCCGTATCGTTGAAGATGTCACGCGGCAAGATGTCGTCGATACCCGCAAAAGATGTCGGCCGTCGCGCAAAATGGCGAACGATCGATGCTTTACCGCCCTCCGCCTCCCGGAGGGACGATGAGCCAGGTGAACGAAAACACTGGATCGACGCACCGAGCCACCCTTCTCGATAATCTGACTCTCGTCCTTTGCGTGTCGTGTCAGCTCGCTCTCGCGGATAGTCGTATGTCGACGCTTTCTCGAGTTGCACTCCTGGAGCACTCTCGACACACTTTCAACTCACTTTCTTGAACGCTATTTGCGACTCGAAAGTACGAATTTCTCCTAAAATTCGGTACTTCAACTGTTGATCTTTGACCATCGGTACCACCAATTAATCGACCGGTTCTCCTCGTCGACGCCAACAACCCCGATTCGTTTCGTACGCTCCGAATTTTAATCGCGCCGTTCGCTGCGGCTTCGAACGATAACTCGAAGCTGCACTCGTAGAATCTCCCCGAGGTGGACTCACGTATATGGATGGGCTTTCGCGACGGACTTCGCGAGCGTTGCAAACAACAACACAACGCGCACGCTTATTCGGGAACGTTGCGAGAACGACTGATTACTCCGTGCTCTCGGCAGGCGAACTATTTCTCTTCGTCGCGCGGCGAGTTTCGCTGATAGTCTGCTGCGCTCGTCCTCGGCGACGTCGACGTCGCCGCCGTCCTCGTCGTCGTCGGTCGGCCGTGCGTCCACCTACGTTTACGGCCAACCAAGACGTAGCACGCCCCGTTACCGTTATCGGTGCGCGCGCAATGGTTCGATAAACGCGGAACGTCGATGGTCGGGGGTGGAAACGGACGGAGAGTGCCCCGCGAAGGAAAAAGAGAGCGAGAGGTACGGCGAGAGCGAGACGGAGCATGGAAGGGTGCGCTAAGAGCGGCCGAGGGAGAGGGCGAGAGAGCCCGCTGTGAGGGGGTGCATCGCGAAGGTGAGACGGAAAAGGGCGTCGGAGACGGAGACGGAGCGAAAGGGACGGAAGGACGCGAGACGGATCAGAGGATGGGGGCAAGGGTGGTGGACGTGATCGAGTAGGGCGAGAAGGAAGGGTAGTTCGCGTGTACCGCGGGCACACGATTGTGTGTATCCACCCAAACTTTTCTCCGACATAACTCACCCTCCCGCTCCCCCCCTTTCCCTCCTGCCGGGGAAACCCAAGGGAGGACAGCTCGAGACTGCTGTCTTGAGTAGACCGGCGGAAAAGCTGGGTATACTACGCCACGACCGTTAGATACTTTTCAGGAGGGTCTCACCGACGACCCCGTGAACGTAGGTCGAGATTTTCTCGTGCCATGCCAGGAGAGCACGCGAGAAAATGAATGAAAACGGGAGACGCGCACTCGGCACACGGCGTAAATAAGCACGGACCGCGGGTAAATATTGGAACTCGCTGAAGCTCGTGCACGGAACGAAATGAATATCCCTTCTGTAAAACCGCGCGGGGATAAACAGTAATGGAGCATTCGGGGAGAAGGATGCCGAGACGAGGTCACGCACGGAATGCTTCCAATAAATGCTAAAGAAATTTCCAATCGGATTGCATCTGTCTTGATAGGATTTTCTATGTTTACCCGTTCTAACAAAATTTTGACAAAATCTTAACAAAATCTTAATAAGAATATTATAACTGTGCGTTATTTGTATATTATATACTGGAAAAACGAAAAGAATTTATTTTCTGTTTTTATTTAATCAGAAGGGATGATTTTCTGTAAGAGATTTTGCTAGATAATCAGCGATTGTATACTTGAGTAAAGGATAAATTATCTGTTTATCTCTTAGAGAGATATTTAAATTAATTATAATCTTCCTCTTCTTTTATAGTAAGAATGTCACGCAAAAAGTGCTTTTTAAGAACCATATAAATTTTTAGATAGTAGTTAAAATATG